AAGTGCCCTCCAAATTCCTCTCCTGAGCTGGGCTGGCCTCCTCCCCTCTGTGACAGTGAAGAGAACAACAGATGAATGGAGAATTTTAGCACGGGGAATCTCCAATACTCAATCTATCTGGAGATTAGAATTAGTCAAACATGTTCACATCTGAAATGGAGATTTTCAGTAAAAAGGGAAAATAATATTTACCTAAATATTACTCTTACGTAAAAAATTTTTTTGGTTAAAAGCATGCATATTAAACCTTTATGTTATTTTGTCAAGACGTTTTTCAACATCCTAAATATTTCTGCAAAGGATTCACATGGTAAATTACTGCAGAACTGCTCTGGCAGCTAGTACCACAGCTACTGCGGTCAACTCTGCTGTGGCTTTGCATCAAGCTGCTTACTCAGCTCACTTTGAGATTCCACAGTTATATAAGACTCTATTTTGTGAATGGGGAACAAGAGCAGGATTGAGATAGTTATGGAGATTCCAATGTCATTATAACGTTACTCAATTTTGTGCTATGCGTGTTCCATATAATGAATCTGAACATGATTGGTAAAAGGTTAAAAATCACTTACTGGGCCTAGATCCTTTTCATAATGCTTCATTGGGTTTTTTGGTCTTTTTGAGCTGTAGCCCCAGCTGGCCTGGAACTCACTATGTAGACCACGCTGGCCTTGAACTCACAGAGATCTGCCTGCCTCTGCCTCCTGAGTGCTGGGATTAAAGGCTTGCATCATCATGCCCGGTTTCATTAGGTATTTTTAAATGACAAAGCCAAGTACTTGTGGTAGCAACAGCCCAAACACCAATTGGTGGCAAATAAATTTCAGAGAGTATAGCTGAAGACAGAGTTTCATTAGACCCCTTCAAACATCTCAAAATTCATATTCTCTCTCCTAGCTGCTGCAATTGCTCCTGGTGCAGCTCAGTCTAAGACTTATTCATCAGACAGGCCCCATTAACTTTGTCTGACTGCTGTTAACCCATGAGTTGTTATTCTCTGTAAATTCATTGATCTGATAATCTGACACATTCTGCCCTTGCTTTACACTTCGATAACTCCTGGTTCCGTGTCCCCATCTGCCTGTCATGCCCCACCCCCCGCTGTGAGATGGTGGAGATAAAAGGGCCTATTAGAATTCACATCCCCCATTTCCCAGCCAACATGTAGTAGGCTGGATCCATTTATTAGCCAGCCATACCTCAGAGTTAGTGCCAATTACTAGCCTCTGCTATGTAACCTCAGTGAGCAGAGACAAAGCTAAGATGACAAGATCCCAAACCCTACCTGGTTCTTCTTTCCATTGTGGTAGGGAAGGGCACTAGGTGAAAGCATGTCCTCACTCTTGGCCTCCCACCAAGCCATGCCCCTCTGCAGTCAATGGGGACAATGAAAGTTGAGCTGCCCCGAGGGGAGACATCCTTCCACTTTGGTTCAGTCCTTTTTGCCCTCACAAGAGGCCTTTTCCCTTATATCTAGTGGAATGGAGAGGCCTAGGTTCTTCATTCCCTGTCCAGAAGGGTGAGTCCTTGGAACCCAGGAGTTTTGGGAAGGTGTCTGGTCATCCTGCTTCCCTTGTGGTTAACACTGGGGCTAGTCCATCTACACCTGCCACGTGGCATTGAGAACAGAATCAGATATATTGCTTTGTAAAGCCATTTTCAAGTGTCAGCTGTGACTTCAGTCATACATAGCAAGTTAATCTGGTTTTTCTAAATTCTTAATTCAGATTTATTATTATTATTATTATTATTATTGCTGCTGCTGCTGCTGCTGTTGTTGTTGTTATAGTTTGGTCTTTTTGAGATAGAGTCTCCCTGTAGCTTCAGCTGGCCTGGAACTCACTATGTAAACCAGGCTAGCCTTGATCTCATAGAGATCTGCCTGCCTCTGCCTCCCGAGTGCTGGGATTAAAGGTGTGTGCAGCCATGCCAGGCTTAATTCAGATTCTTAATTCAGAAAATATCAATGGGTTATTCAGTTCTATGGAGCTATCTATAATGGTCAATATTGTAATGAAAGAGAAAATAAGACACCTGTACTCTGACCAACTGGATGGGCACCTGCACCTAGCCTTCCTACTTCCCCTTCTTTCCATGCTTTCTAGGAGAGGACTGCTGTTTTTTTCACGAACAGGTCAGGTGTGGTACAGGAGGGAATAAGAAAACTCAAGACACAAACATCCTTGTTGGGAGGAAATACTTCACAAGAGATTTTTCTCTCATCTGTTCTGTTGGCCCCTCTCTGCTCTCCTCCCTAACTATAACTGCCCTTTTGCTATTTTTTAAAATTTATTCCAGAGATTTTTTGATTAGCTAGGTCACAGCAAGTTTTCAAGCTGCTGCTCAGGACCATATAAAAACTATCTTCCTCTTAAGGGATATGCATGACCCTCTTTGCCCCATTGGTCAGATATGATGATGATGCCCTCACATCCATTTACATCCCTTTCATAGTCAAGTATGAAGGAGAAATCTTAGATCCTAATGTTCCTTGCATGGCTGCATGACTGAATGCCACTCCCTGGCAGCTTACACAGAAGGCTGTGTCTTAGCCCTTCCCACTGGCCCCTCTGATATGACTCAATCTCAATCACTGGGCACTCCCTGGATGAGAGTCCTGCATGGCTGACCCACCTCATAATGGGGAAATCCACCCTGCATCTATCTGCCTGAGATGATCCAACTCCTACCCCAAATACCTTCCCCCTCCCTGAAGAAAGAAAAATACAAAAACCCTAAATTTGTAAGGAAGCGTTGTCCTAGTTTGTTTCTCCATTGCTGTGACAAAACACTCTGACCACTACCAACTTGGGGAGGAAAGGGTTTATTTAGCTTACATCTCCCAGGTCACAGCTCATCAGGGAGCCCAAGCTAGGAACTCAGGGCAGGAAACTGGAGGCAGGAGCTGGAACACAGGCCATGGAGGAACACTGCTTACTGGCTTGCTCCCCTGGCCCCTACTCAGCCTGCTTTCTTATACAACATAGGTCCATCTGCCCAGGGGCGGCACCACTCACAGTGGGCTAGGCCCCCCCACATCACTTAATCAAGAAATGCCCCACAGACATAGCCACAGGCCAGTCCAGTGGAGGAAATTCCCCAACTGAGGCTCCCTCAACCCAGGTGTATCAAGTTGACACTAAAGCTATCCAGCACAAGTGTACACTCTCATCTGGATCCCAGGCTTCAAGGAGTGGTGCCTGCTCAGGTTTATTTTCTAATAAATCTGCTTGGGTCTGTAGAGTTCAGTTCTCCTTTACCTCCTTCCTGTTTTCTATTTCCTTACACATACAAGCAATACTAAATGGACTCAGGTTGCGTGTGTGTGTATGTGTGTGTGTGTGTGTGTGTGTGTGTGTGTGTGTGTGTACACACACACATATATGCATATATATATATAATCATAATAATTAAAGGTCATGAAATTGAGAGGGTGTGAGGAGGTGTGGGAAGAGTTGGAGGGGGGAGAGGGAGGATGGAAATGTAAATATAGTATTCATATATGAAGTCCTAGGGGGGCTAAAAAGAATGTTCTTCCTTCCAAATCAGTTCCCTCCAGATGTCTAGACACCAGCTTCTTCATGTCAGCATAACAAGGTGCCTGGCTGGCTGGAGTCTTCAAATGAGCCTATGCAAAAACAAAGACGTCATGCCCTTTGTTTCCTTTGTTTTGTTTTTTTAAAAATCAGCAGAAGCAATGAAGTTACATTTGGATATAGTTCTGACAAATATTCTAAGGCAGATCATCAGTGTTCATTAAGAGCTGCCATTTTGTTGTTTATAGGAGTTATGGGTGAAGCATAAAAAGGCAAATAATGAATTTTTCTTTAAGTCACTGAAGCAAGATTAGTAAGTCAGCACTGGGTGATACATACATCTAGGCCAAGCAGTTGGGGGTTGGGGCGGGGGAGACAGGAGAACTGCTCTAAGTCTGAGGCTAGCCTGTCTATGTAGTGAGAGTTTCAGACCACAGTTATATAGTGAGACCCTGCCTCAAGCAAACAACCCACTTTAAAAAAAAAAAAAGACAAAGAAAATGCTGCTGCTGCACCTACCTCAATGCTTTCTTGAATTAATGAGTTAATGTTTCATTTAACTACCAATCAGCCATTCTTGGGGCTAGCTCGTTTTTCTGTTATTAATAGAAATAGTAGCTTGGTGAGGTATTTTCTTATGAAACCCAAAAATTGATGAAATGAAATAAAAATCCTGAACCTGTTCAGCTGTATGCATTTGTAACGCAAGACCAGAAATTGTGTTATAAAATCCTTGCTTTACTAGAATACTTGAAATAAGAAAAATACCCTACAAATTCTTATAATAGACTTGAATATTTGAGGAACTGAAAACCAAGTGCTCAGAGGTTTAGCTCTGAACTGAGCAGAATCTACCAGTCCAGTCACAATTAACTTGCAAATGTGCTAAAAACAAGAACTAACCAATTCACCAACTTTTGTCTTTGCAAAGCCTGGCACCTAGACAAGGCTTGATGAGTATTTGCCGAGTAGAGTCACAAATTATCAGAAAGGCTGTCACTTTCTTTAATCCACGCTTTGTTCCTAGCCAGAAGTTGTTCTGAGAAGAGCATCAACTGTGCAGCTGTAAGCACACCAGGAGTGGGCTCATAGGGTGGAGCCAGGCTTCTGTGAACTTTGTAAGAACCTGCTTTCTCTGGTGACTGTAATAACTAACGGTCCCAACTTTGCTACAAAAATTCCTAATGGGTGTTTCTTCAGTAGTCACAAAAGATGCTGTATAGCCCTGTGGTCTCTGATGCTGCCAGGAGACTGATGCGGGCCCTAAATCCCACATGGCTTTTCTGGAAGAGACAAGGAGTCCCAGCAATATGTCATCAAAGCACCCAATCTTTCATTCTGAGAGTACTAGGAGAACTGAACACCACTGCCATTGAGCAAAGACTGGTCTGCAGAGAAGCACAGAAGGAGGTGGTATTGGTTTTGGGGTTTTTGTTTTGTTTTGTTTTTTCCTTTAAAACTTACCTTCTTGGTGACAGGATCCCCTTTGGACTGATGATGTGGAGACATTTTTACCTGGAAAAAAAGGGTAAACATTTCAATACCTTTTTAGATAGGGCTTAGTTTTACTTAACCCAGTTCAAAATAACTGAAATAAAATAGGTGTAGTTGAGATAAAACAATATTTTCAGAGGGAAAAATGAAAAGAATTTATCATAAAGTATCTTCAAAATTTTTCTAGAGACCAAAAAATCAATAATCAGCTAAGATACTTTGTGTCCATGCTCGGATGCCTAGAAGCTCAGAGGGTAACCAACTGTGACTAGTGGTGGTCAGATATTTAGAGATTGGAGGTGCATGTGCAAACGTCCAATGTCAATTGCATTGAAAAGGGGTTTTTCTGTATGAGACTGTGTGTTTTGATAATGAAGTGGAGATCTTTTTTAGAGGTTGGGACGTCGTTTAGTTTGTGTCTTGTGGGGTTTATACTGAGTACAATATTGTATGACTGTGGTGATTCAACTGTGGACCTGGGGGTTTGCGGCCAGTTTTGGAAGAGATGCATCCTACCTCGGGAAACCGTTGTTGAGTATGTTGATTGTGTTGTGGTGATATGCTTCTTCTAAGTATGTTGTTATTAAATAAATAATTTAAAAAAAAGTATAATGAAGGTAAGAAAAATAGAATGATGGTCAAAATTGTGTGCGTGTGTGTGTGTTCAAATAGGTGGGTGCATGTGGATGCATGTGAATATGGAGGGCAAAAGCGACAGGTGTCTTCTTCAGTCATAATTCCACCTTATTTTCTGAGTCAGGGTCTCTCAATGAACCTGGAGCTCACTGACTGGCTAGACTGGGTGGCTAGTGATCTGTAGGAATCCACCATAGTCTCTTCCTCTGGGATTACAGGTGGATACTATGGATCTGAACTTAGGTCCTTATGCTAAGTACTTAACAATTGAGCCATATCTCCAACCCCCTAATTAATTGGTTTTTGTCAAATGGTGAGAAACTAAATCGCTAGAGCCTTGCTGACAATGTTGGTCAATGGGAGCAGTAAGCAATGATCAGTATTGCAGAGGTGAGTATGATGGAAAGAACTCTTGATATAATATGGATGAATCTCAATTTTGACGAAGTAGAAGTCTTATAAAAGTGTATATCTTATAATTCCATTTATCTAAAATTCTAGAAAATGCAAACTCATCTGTTGTGCTAATGACTAGAGGAAGTTCTTGGCGATGGTGGATCAAGGCAGGGCATGATCCTGAATGTGGTGATGGATTCATTTCATGTATACATTTCTCAAACTTATATGCTTTATGTAGTTTATATCATTTAGAGAAATTTGTAGGATACAGCTACAGCACTGGTAAAATCTACAGCTTTATACACTATGTTGGAAAATAAAACTTAAGAAAGAACCTACATTTCCTGTTAAAAAAATATTTTATTTGTCCTGAGAGTACCTGTATCTGGCCTCTGGGTGGTGGTGAGCTTCCCAAATTGTGCGATGTCCATTCCACTACACTGGGACCACCTGAAGTCCCCCTCACTGCCCCAGGGTCAGGTTTCTCTGCTGACTAGTATGTGCCCAGATGTCTGAAGACTGCCTGAGAGTCCTGATTCAGGCCTCTGTGCTGGTGAGCTTCCCAAATTATGCTGTCCCCATCTTCCTACATTGGCACCACCTGCAGCCTCTCCCACTGCTCCAGGGCTAGGCTTCTCTGCCCTTTAGTAGAGGCCCAGATTTTTGCAGACTGCCTGAGAGCACCTGAATCCAGTCTCCACCTAGCAAGCTTCCCAAATTGTGTTCTTCCTGCTGGCTAGTAGGGGCCCAGACCTTAGGAGGAAGCCTGAGAGTACCTCACTGGCATCTGACTTGGACCTCTGGGGGAGCTGCTGAATAGCTGGAATAGAGCCATCTGGTCCCTCCAAAATAAAATCAAAAGAAATAACCTGAAGCTTAGAATAGCCAGTTTTTCATACCCAATAAGAAAACAACCAAGGCATATCAATAATACAAGCAGAATCAGACTACAACTCAAGAAAGGCTTGACTTTCATACCAGAATCACAAACAACAAAAAAGAAATCCAGATGCCAAAATCACAAAGAAAAACTAATAATATGAAAAACCAAAATAATATGTTCCCATCAAACACCACCAGTCCTACAGAAGAGTTCTACAAGGAGAACCCCCTAGAGATAGCCCAGGACATAGAATTTTAAAGAATGATTATAAATATGATCAAGGAATTCAATGAATTTAACAGAATACACACACAAACAAACCAAAGAACTAAAAGAAGATAGGGATAAACTTCTGACTGAATTCACAAAAGAGATAGAAACTTTGAAGAAAACTCAGACAAATGAAGAAGGAAGTAAAAAACTCAATAAGCCAATTTGAATCAACAGGAAAAAGTTTCACCAATAGAATGAATGAAATGGAAAACAGAATATCAAGACTGGATGATAACGTTGAAGAACTGGACCGCTCAAACAGATTATGAAAAAATTTAAAAACACAGCAGTGGAGTATGCAGGAAAATGTGGGGCACCATGAAAAGATCAAACTTACGCATCACAGGCATAAAGGAAGAAGAACCTCAGGTTAATGGTATGGACCAGATCTCAAACAGGATTGTAGAACAAAATTTCCCAAAATTAAGGAAAGACATGTCCATACAAATACAAGAAGCACATAGAACACCAAATGCACAGGACCAGAAAAGAAACTCCCATAGCATATCATAGTAAAAACACTAAATGCACATAACAAAGAGAAAATACTGAAAGCTACAAATGAAAAACAACAAGTTACATATAAAGGAAAACCCATCAGAATTACAGCTGACTTTTCAATGCAAACTATGAAAGCCAGAAGAGCTGGATCAAAGTATTCCCAGTTCTAAATGACCACAGATGCCAACCCAGAATATTTACCCAGCAAAAATGTCTATTATAGTTAATGGGGAAAGAAAAATCTTCCACAACATAAATAGGCTGAAAGAATTCATGTCCACAAAACCAGCCCTTCAGAGAACACTTAAAGCAATACAAAGAGGTGAAGAAAGGAATGACTATACTCAAGAGGCAACAGAAAAGAACTAAATGAAGGAATAATTGTGGAAACACAAAGACCAAGAATGCAAACAGAAATTATGATGGAAACTAATACACATCTTTCAATAATAACAACTTTAACTATCAATGAAGTGAACTCCTTAGTCAAGACACAGGCTAGAGGAATGGATTAAAAAACAAAATCCAGCTTTTTGTTGTCTGCAAGAAATCCACCTCACCTTCAAGGACAGGCACAGCAGGGGTTGCAATTCTAATATTTGATAAAATAGACTTCAAACTAAAACTAATCAGAAAAGATAAAAAGGGTCACTTCATTCGGATCAAAGAAACAAATGGCCAAGAAGATATTACAATCATGACCATATATGCACCAAACTTTGGTGCACCCAATTTAATAAAAACACTATGGGTTTATAATAGACAGATAAACCCCAACCCAGTGATAGTAGGGAATGTCAATATGCCACTGTCTCCATTAGACAGGTCAACCAGATAAAGAATAAACAGAGAGACATCTGAATTAAATGACACCATACATCAAATGGACCTAACAGATATCTACCAATTATTCCACCCAAGCACCAAAGAATACACTTTCTATTTAGTACCCCATGGAACTATCTCTAAAACTGACCACATACTGGGGCACAAAAAACCCCTCAACAAATACAAAAACATTGAAATAGTTGCATGCATTCTACCAAACCACAATGCAATAAAGTTTAAGATGAAGCCCTAGTAGCTACATGAACTCATGGAGATTAAACAACACACTACTCAATGATGAATGGGTCAAAGAAGAAATTAAGAAAGAAATAAAAGTATTCCTGGAACTAAACAAAAAAGGACAACATAACACAGCAAAACCTTTGGGACACTTTAAAAGTAGTCCTAAAAGGGAAGTTTATAGCTCTAAGTACCTCATTAAAAAATCAGAAAGAGCACAAATAAATGACTTAACATTGCAACTCAAGACTCTGGAAAGGTGAGAATAAATGAAATTCAAACAAGAAGAAAAAAACAAAAATCAGAGCAGAAATTAATGAAATAGAAACAAAGAAAATAATACAAAGAATCAATGGACATATGAGCTGGTTTTTTGAAAAGCTAAGCAAGATAGACAGATCCTTAGCCCAGTTAACCAAAAGAGAGAAAGCAAATCCAAATCAACAAAATCAGAGATGAAAGGGAAACCAGCACAACAGATACCAAAAAGATCCAGAACATTATAAGGGAATACTTTAAAAGCCTAAAAGAAATGGATGAAGATCTAAAATCATGGGAATAACCAAAGTTAAACCAAGAAGAGATTAACAGCTTAAACAGACCCATAACATTGAAACAGTAATACAAAACCTCCCGACTAATAAAAGCCAAGGACAGATGGATTTACAGCAGAATCCAGCACACATTTAAAGATCTACCATCAACACTATTTAAATTACTCAAAAAGATATAAACAGAAGAACTCCCAAATTTCATCTATGAAGCCAGCATCACTCTAATACCCAAACTAGGTAAAGATACAACGAAAAAAGAAAACTATAGATCCATATCCTTAATGAACATAGGTGAAAAAATTCTCAACAAAATACTTGCAAAACACATACAGACTCACAACAAAAAGATCATCCACCATGATCAAGTTGGCTTTATTCCAGAGATGCAGGGATGTTTCAATATACTCATCAATAAATGTCATAAATCATATAAATGGACTCAAAAACAAAAATCACATGGTCATCTCAATAGATGCAGAAAAGGTCTTTGAAAATATTAAACATGCACTCATGTTAAAAGTCCTAGAGGGAATTTGACATACCTTGACCTAATTAAGGCTATATACAACAAACCCACAGCCAACATCATTCTAAATGGAGAAAAACTGTAAGCATTCCCATTAAAATCGGGAACTAGACAGGGCTGTCCACTACCTCCACTTCTTCTAAATATAGTGCTTGAAACTTGCAAGAGAATAAGACAAGAA